ATGACTTAATATTTACATCAACCCCATGTTACAGGTACTATTAATAACCTCTTTTAACAGATGAGGGAACTGTGGCATAGAAAGATTAAATAACCTGACCAATAAACAGTCAGTAAATGGCAGAGCCAAAATTTGAGCCCAAATGTCCAGCCTTTTAAGCCATGTTACCATTTCATCTAACATCAAAAAAAACCCACTGAGGAGTTTTAAGGTCTCTTTTAAGAGAACTGACATCAGGTTTGTAAACCCCCCTGGCTACAGAGTGCCAAACGCCCATCTGCCAACAAAAAAGGGAGGGGTAAGGGAGGGGGATCCCAATACTACTTAGTTTATTTATGTCACGGGGCCTGTTTACATTTATCCTTTTGTTTGTTTGTTAAGACATTTCTAGTTGTCACATACATTTAGTCTTTTCTTACCTCTGGACTTACCACACCAACTGTCTGTGCTAATGGAGCAAGTAAAGACATTGAGGAGATGTTCAAAGCATCTTCCTGGTCTTCACTGCTTTCTACTTCTGCTTGATCCATCTCCTCTTGGCTCTTTTCCACGTCTAGTTCATCTTCCTCTAGGACATCACTGAAGATGTCATTAATTACTTTCGAACTATTGATATCATCGTCATCCACACTCATCTCAATTTCACGTACCACTTCTGAAAAATATTTTAATAGGTGGATACTGTGATTCAGACCATTTTAAGAATTAAAGGCATAACAAAGAAGATCTAATATTCATATGCTTACTAAGTAAACAGGGGGAAGCACTATACAAAAGCAAACACTACTAATACATGAAATCAAGATAATTTTCAAATTTCCAATAACATTTTCTAAAAAATGAAGGTTGGGTCCATTAAAAGCTGATTCAATGCTTTGGGTAAGAACTCAAATTGCAGGATAAGAGCCAAAAGCTTCAGAGTTTTAAAAAATGTTATTTCAAATGATGCTTCTTCTACTGTTGAGAGCTACTTTCACACAGCAGTCAATAACAGGAAAATATTAATGTCACTTAGGGCAGGGTTCACTAATAAGCTCCAGGGGCTGCTAATGCCTCTACCAGTACATGCAGAATGTGGGAAGACAGCACCTTTCCTCTGCCTGTCAAAGTCAGTGAGAGTCTTAACCAAAGTTTCACAGGTGCCTGTCACCTAACAGAAACTGTTAACAGCATCATATCTCTGTGGAAGCTAGAGCATATTCTGGTAAAAAAAAAAAAAAAAGAGCGAGAGAGAGTATTATAAAATCACAAGACACTATAAATTTGAATATGTGCTTCTATATACCTTTCTTATAATGTGTACAGAGTTAAAGAAATAAGAATAAAAACCAACCAATCTGCTGTTCAATCTTCGGGTCAGATGTTACTTTTAAAGACTTTTCCTCTTCTAAAAACAATGTTATTTTGAAAGGGCTAGACTTTGTCATTTTGCATTCAGTGAAACCTAAAAAATTTTTAAGAAAGACCATGTTAATATGTATAAGAACATATGATTTTCTAGTTAAGGAATCTTATGTATCCTTTTTCTGATTATAAAACTGTGCATTTATTTTAAAATATTCAAATATAGATAAATACAAAGTAGAGACTCCCTTGTTAAGAGATTAAAATTAAGAGAAACACCTGTTCTCTCTTAATTTTCCAACCTCTCTCTTCCTCCCCACTAAGACAGAAAGGGGACAGCAATAATATCAACTTATTGTTTGTTTTTCCAGTTTTGCCCCTATGTATGTATATTTATATATCATTTTGTTTTGTGATCATACTGTATATACTGCTCTCTAATTTGTTTTTCACTTTAGAAAAAAAAAGTGTCAGTAAAATCACTCAAAAACTTGGAGTAGAAGGAAAGTACCCCAACATAACACAGGCCATATATGAAAAGCCCTCCAGCTAACAACATTATGCTCAATGGCAAAAGATTGAAAGCTTTTCCTCTAAAATCAGAAAAAGACAAGGATGCCTGTTTTCACTACTTCTACACAATATGGAATTGGACGTCCTAACCAGAGAAATTCGGCAAGAAAAAGAAATAAAAGGCACCCAAATTAGAAAGGAAGAAGTAAAATTATCTCTGTTTACAGATCACATGATCTGATACACAGAAAATCCTTAAGATTCCACACAAAAAATCTGTTAGAATTCATAAATTCAGCAAAGTTGCAGAATACAAAATCAACACACAAAGATTAGTTTCTACACACTAACAATGAACAATCTGAAAAGGAAATTACAAAAAACAATTCCATTTGCAAGAGCACCAAAAAGAATGAAATACTTAGGAAAAAAACCTAACCAAGGAGGTGAAAGACTAGTACCCAGAAAACTATAAAGCATTGCTAAAAAAAAATTAAAGAAGACACAAATAGGTAGAAAGACATCCCATTTTCATGGATTAGAAGACAATATT